GTACTAATTTTTATATCGATTGCAATCATATAATTTTTACGATCTTCGTTGATACATCAACAATTGATTAAATAAAAAAATATTGAATATATTATTATAGCAATTGTTTACGATTTAAAGGGTTTAGTTAATGATAAAACAAAAACTTGCTTAACGAGTCAAAATAAACAAATAATTTTAAATAAATAGTGGAGAAAAAAGTTTTAGATTTGAATATTATTTAATGTGACTTTATGATATGTTAGTAGTAGTTGTTATATAATAAAATAAACAAAAAAAAATAAAAATAGGTAGTAAATGCAAAAGTAACGGAAAATGAAGAAAAAAATGAAAGAGTTTTATTAAATTTATTGCTATCTAACCCTCTAATTTTTCGAGCGAAACAAGTTGGCTGACCATTTATCATCAACTAGTATTTGACCTGTGCATTTGCACAGATATATAAATAAAGTATTGTGAGTTATTTGTATACATATAATGATTAATAATTTTTGCCAAATTTACAATTAAAAGAGCTGAAATAAATTTAAATTGTGTTTACCATAGTAGATGTAATGTGTATTTGGTATGTATATTTTGTAGAATTATTTATTATTTATTTAGAAATTTTAAATACGTTTTTTATTTTTCAAAAGAAGTTAATTTAAATGTAATCACAACAATAACATCTAATCACGTTAAATAGTCAACTCATTATATGGTCAGCTGTCGGTAAATCAAAACTTTAAAATAATTTTTGTAATTTTGAAGTAATTAGTGTATTGATTATCTCATAATTAAATGAGAGGTTAAATAAATAAAAAGTAACGGTTTTTGGAGGGAAAAAAATTTTATTGCCACATAGGTATAATTTAATAGGTTTTATTAAATGCTCATGAGCTAGCAATTATATATACTAGTTATCATCCCGTGCACATGCACAGATGTACATAAAATATTATAAGTAATATGTGTGAATTTAATATTAAAATTATAGATGATAAACATATCACATTTTCAAGATATGTTAATTTAATATTAAGATTCTAGATAATAAACATATCACATTTTCAAGATATGTGAATTTAATATTAAAATTCTAGATAATGGACATACCAAATTTTCAAGATTTAATCATTAGTAAAAATAAAATAATATATATATAAATTATTTGAGTACGTATGAATCCCTATATTGATTAAAAAAATTGTGGGTAATGTAATTTTATATTTGGAGGGATCATGATCAAATAATTTACTTGAAAACTTTTTATTATTATTATAATTATTATTATTATTACTATTCTTGTTACAACGATAATTGTTTATAAGATTTTAAAGTTTTTTACTATACTATTAAAACTATTTACTAATTGTTTCTAAAGAAAATTGTTTCATGAAATATAAAATTAAAATAATAATATTCATAAAACCTAATTAAGCGTAATCATGTATTTATAAAACCTAATTAATAAAACCTCATTTATTTTTCCTCCAAAAGAAGTTACAAAATTTGTCATTCATATTTTGTTTTTCACATTAATACACCCTATTAAGTATAATCATGTATTTTTTTGCTATTATATTATATAGTAGTTAATGTTATTACCAACTCATAATATTTCACTAGCACTGTCAAACGGGCCAGTGGCCCGCGGGCTGGCTCGCCCGCCCGCTTAAACGGACGGGCTTGGGCCTTTGCTTGGCCAGCCCGTTCAATCGCAGGCCTATTTGGCCCGCCCCGTTTGGCCCGCGGGCTGGGGCGGGCTGACCCTTTTTTTTTTT